TGTGGCAGGGACCCAACTGTCCCCCAGTGCCCACGCCCGTTGTGCCCTCCTCCTCCTGAGGACCCTCCCCCCAGCCAGACACGCTGCCCTTCACCACCTCAGGACCCTCTTTGACCACCAGGTTTGTGCCCATTTGCTGGAGAGAGAAGAAAACCTCAACCCTTTGGGCCCCAACCCCTCCAACCTCCCCCCACCTCCTGCCGGGGGGGGGTTAGAAGAAGTGGTGGAAGAAGTCCAGAAGGTTTTAGGAGGGTTTATCAAAGCCAACCCCAAAGCTTGGGCACCTCTGGTGGCTTCTTGGTCCATGGATTTGATGGGACAACTGAGCAGTAAATATGCAGGGAGACCTGGGGTCCCTCACCCTGCTGGGGGGTTGAACGAGCTGCTCCAGCTCTGGATGTCCTGTGGGGCCACCAGGGCTCTGATGGACATTTATACTCAATGTTTGTCTGCCATGGCAGGTGGAGGAGGAGGAGGAGGAGGAGGAGGAGGAAGCCAAGGCCCTGATGCTTGTGTTGATGCCCTTTTGGACACGTCCATCCAACACTCCCCCCATTTCGATTGGGTGGTGGCTCACATTGGCTCCTCTTTCCCCAACACCATCATCAGTCGGGTCCTTTCCTGTGGCCTGCAGGATTTTTGCAGCCACGGGGAGATGGGGGGGACCCTCCCCGTGGGGGGAGGGGCCCTGGGAGGGGACAAAAGGGTCCCCAAATTGGCCTCAGTCGTGGGGATTTTGGGCCACTTGGCGGCGCGACACGGGGGGAGCATCAGGCAGGAGCTGCTCAGGATGTTCCACCAGAGCCTCAACAACCCCCCCAGCAGGGACCCCCACCAAAAAGCCACTGTCCCCTTCCTCCTCCAGTTGGCCCTCATGTCCCCCACCCTTTTGGGGACAATTTCCAACGATTTGGTCCCTTCCCTCACCCCCAACGTCCTCAACCAGCTCCACCACCACTTGGGCGCCTTCAGCAGGGAAGAGCTGGACAACATGGTCACCATGGTGGTTCATTTGATCTGCCAGAGCTCCAGGGGGGCTTATCAGATCCTCCAGTTCCTCCTC